TCTTGAGACAGAGAATTCAGATTTGTCTTCTGGGCGTTCGGCCCCGCCATTCAAACCTTCCTTCATTGCCCGCCGATTATTAGCATCGACGGCACGCACCTGCGAGGTTCGTACAAGGGGAAACTACTTGTTAATTGCAAATTAATATTTTTATTTTCTAATTTACAATAGTGTCTGATAAAAAGAACATATGTCCAACTGAGCAGGTTCGTACAAGGGGAAGCTGCTTGTTTCCATAGCACAGACCGCGAATAAGCGTCTATTGCCAGTCGTCTATGCGATTGTGGACGAATAAAGCACGGCTAGCTGGTCCTTTTTCCTAACACATCTGCGTCATCATGTCGTCCCCGACAGACCGATATGTCTTCTTTCGGACAGGGACAACGACATATTGAGTGTCGTTGAATTACTGGAGACTTGGCACGAACCCCATGCATTTCATCGGATATGCCTTCGACACCTCCAGAGCAACGTGTTTTCAAGGTACCGAAATAAGAAAGTCTGGGGTTTGTGTTGGAGGTTGGGTTCACTGTGTTCTCGCCGCAAATTTGAGCAGAGTCGAAAGGAACTCTATGAATGTAACCCGGACGCATACGATTACCTTTTTAAAATTCATTTGGAAAAGTGGACCCTGTACAAAGATAGAGGACGTCGATGGGGCACTTTGACAACCAATATGTCAGAGAGTTACAACAACGTCCTCAGAGGTGTTAGGTTCCTGCCCTGCAGAACGTTGGTACAGAACACAATGAACAAGACTCTGGATTTGTTTGAACAGGAACAAAAGAAGTCCAGAGGATGCAGGAGTCTCATTCCTACCGACCTCTATGCCGCCTATCGGGTGTTGGATAAGACGGCGGTGACTCACGAGTGTGATGTGTGGACGCCGACAGATCCCAGTACATGATGACAACCGGTCTACGCGCCAATGAAAGAGGGTAAAACAAGTATGTATTTTTTAATTGTAATTTTTTTTCCATCCAAATGAGTTTATTTTTTTTAATTTATATATATAAATCATTGTGGAAAACATGTTTAAGGTTGATTATCAGCAGCAGCGTTGTGCATGTAGGAAGTGGCAGAAACATCGAAAACCATGCTCTCATGCACTGACCGTGTGTCGTCACCGGGGTTGAACTTGTTGTACGATTCCTACTTTTGGACGGAAAACTGGGTTGCTCAATTTTCTAATTGGAATTTTGCTCCAATTGGAAATCCTGACACGTGGCCGCAGGTGGGATGAAATTTGATTCCGAATTGGCAGAGGATCATCTCGAAGCCTGGACCCGGTCGCACCCAAACGAGACGCTTTAAAATGCAAATAGATCGTCGGGCACGCCGCAGAAGAGTCCGGGATCAATGCACTAGATGTGGTTATCCTGAACATTTCGCGGACCATTGCCCGTATTCGCATCCTTCCACCGATCGAACTAGACTCCGTGATGATTGGGGGAACTAGATTTTTTAGATGAATATTTTGTATTTGGATGATTTATATAATGTGTAATCGAACTCGAATTAGTACAATTGAAGTCAAATTAGTACAATTGAAGTCAAATTAGTGCAAGTAAAGTCAATTATAGTGTAATCGAACTCGAATTAGTACAATTGAAGTCAATTACAGTGCAATTGAAGTCAAATTAATACAATTGAAGTCAATTATAGTGCAATTGAAGTCAAACTAGTACATATAGTATATAACTTATAACATATAACATATACTATATAACATATTACATATAATATATAACATATAACATATACTATAAAACATATAGTATATAACATATAGTATATAACATATATTATATAACATATAGTATATAACATATAGTATACAACATATAACATATAACATATAGTATATAACATATACCATATACTATATAACATATAACATATAGTATATAACATATAACATATAACATATACTATATAACATATTACATATAGTATATAACATATAACATATAGTATATAACATATACCATATTCTATATATCATATAACATATAGTATATAACATATAGTATATATAACACATTAGTACAATCTCGGTCAATTATAGTGTAATCGAACTCGAATTAGTCCAATTGAAGTCAAATTAGTACAATCTCGGTCAATTATAGTGTAATCGAACTCGAATTAGTCCAATTGAACTCGAATTAGTCCAATTAAAGTCAAATTAGTACAATCTCGGTCAATTATAGTGTAATCGAACTCTAATTAGTCCAACTGAAGTCAAATATAATTATTTTTTTTATAAACGGATTCTGAGAATCCGTGTTTAGTTTTTAACAACAAAAAACGGATTCTCAAAATCCGTGTTAACTATTCAACGAGAAAAACGGATTCTCAAAATCCGTGTGACCATTTAACGTCAAAAACGGAAGAATAGGTGGAAACGAAAATTTAATACAATTCTAATTTCAAATCATCTTTACGAATATTATTTTTGTAAAGATATATTATTCGTGAATTAATTATAATTAAATCAAGGATTAATGACTAATTTTATTTATTTATATAATAAAACAGCTGGGCTGTACTCAACAAACCAATGTGCAACACACGCATAATTCAACTGAACATGTGGAAAAATTCCTGAATAATTCCAATCGATTTGCTGGGTCATGTGCGCCAAATACAAAAGAACAAAAAAAACTAAATATATCTCACAAAATTATAAATTATAAAAATCATATTTTAATATAAAAATATGTCAAATTATTACAATCTCGGTCATTTTTGCAAAAAATGGCATCGTCATCCTCGAACCCTCAACCCTACACCGAGATCAGCTGAGTGGCCTGAGAGAGACTGATGTAAGTTTCTTAGGTCATAATAATAAATAATTATTATTTTTTTAATTCTATTTTTTATTAAATTCATTAATAATTCTATAAATGTTTTTTTCTTTTTACAGTTCGATTGGGTACCCTATCAGACGTATATAGACGAGGGTCGGCTCCCAGACCAGTGTACACGAGACCGACATCTCTGTACAAGGGGTGGATCTTCTGTTGGAACATCGCAGAACCCCACCAGACGCCGATCATTACTAGTCTGGCCGACTGGGACACCCGCCACAAAGGCCAGGGCATGACTGTGAGGGCATATACCGATTGGCGGGCCTTCCATGCTGATCTTGGGAGGATTTGGACCGAAGAGAGAGATCAGAACGTCCTCCCAGATGTCCCGGTGGATCCCTTCCTGCAGCCGGCAGAGGGGTACATTGATTGGTATCACAGTAGGACTGTGAGACTATTCAATGATCCTAACAACTACGCGACGATCTCACAGGACGGCAGGTTTCAATCATATGCCGACCGAGAGAAGTGTTAGATAAGTGTCTGCTAATTTATGATTTTTATTATTATTATTATTATTACTGAAGTAATTGTTATTATTATTATTTTTATATTTGATAGTTATTTGAATTTTATTTTCAGAATTCGGGTACGGAGGGGGCGTATAACATGCTATCGAACATTGAAGACATTGATACGCTACCTCCCCGAGCGCAGTCACAATTCCAGCAAGCCCAGGAACTTCTGTACGCTTCTCTGACTGTTGGGGGTCAGTCGGTCACACAAGGGGCGTCGTCGGAGCAAATTCTATCTCAAGATGAGTACGCCCCACCCCAGCAGACACAGTCCCAGCGGGTGAGGCATAGGCCGGAGCCCCATATTGGTGGAGGGAGAAGACGTCGTGACCGCGAACCCGCTGCTGCATTCCCCGGGAATGAAGAAGACGAAGAAGGTGATATTTTTTTATTTAACTACAAATATATATTTTATTTTTGTTTTTTTTATTTATTTATCTGGTCGAATTACTGATTTTTTATAAAAATTAATTAATTAGGTGAAGAAGAAGAAGAACCAGCCACGCCTGGACCGACCGCAGGATCGTCTTCTTTGGTGCCGGGGCCTCGGAGAGGGTCCCGAAAACGCCAGCCAAAGAAAACATTTACTCCTAGTTAGTTTGTTTTGTATTCTGTGAATTTGTGGACATTTTTTTTTTGTACTGGATTTCAGATATTTATTCTTGATAGTTTTGAGTACATATTTTGTGGTTCATTTTTTTCTTCGGTAATTGTGGTTGTCTTTTTGTATATAGTGTTTCATGTATGTATGCATGCTAGATTTATAATTTGACGAATGAATTGATATTAAAGTGATATTATTTCATGTTTAAAATGTTAAATCAAAATTTATAAAAAAACCTTCATATTGAAGGATAAGAATAAAAATTCAGCCAAAATAAACGTGATCGCTGATAAACGAGTTCGTGAGCATCCAAGAGTCGAGCTTAACTTAAAAACAAATTAAAACAAATACATAAAAACAGATTCTTAGAATCTATTTTTTTTTTATAAAAATAAATAAATAAATAAACACGGATTCTCTTTGTTAAAACGGATTGTGAAAATTCGTGTTAGTTAATACGGATTTTCATAACACGTTTTTAGTTTAATTAATTACGGGTAATCACGGATTCTCAGAATCCGTTTTTCCTTGAAACACGGATTTCTAAAATTTGGCTGTTTTATTTTTTTCTACAATTTTTTTAATTTTTAATTTTTGCCACATATTTTTTTTTAATTAAATAAATAATTCCTCGTCTATATATATAATTTCTCAATACAACATTTATAATTAAAAATCAACGAAAGGCCAAATTCTCTTCAATTGGACAGCCCTACTTATGAGCAACCAAAGTTTAACTATGGATTAGATTACAACTCTGGTTAAAACTTAAAAAAGCAAGTGCTGGTTAAAGATAACCACAAACTAGATTTTTATTATCTACAGTCTCATCATCATCATCATCCTCTCCCCAAAACAACAAAAACCATTTTCTTTCTTGAGCTTCTTTCTCTCTCTAAAAATGGCTAAAGAATATTATCACCGCCCCAAACCCTAAAAATCTAACCTTGAATAAAGAACAGAAAAAAAAGATCTGGGCTTCATAAATCCTTAAGTGCTGTTTGGCTTGCCATGGAATTGGGAAATTCCACCGTCAAAACCCCAGAACCCGAATCCGAGACCCGGAACCCGGCTCGGACCCAGCCGCCCGCAAAGGCGACACCTCTCAGCAACGGTGTGCTCAAACGCCACGCGCCGCCGCACCACCACCACCACATCCCGGTGGTCGTCACCTACAGGGAGTGCCTGAAGAACCACGCCGCCAGCCTCGGTGGCCACGCCGTCGACGGATGCGGCGAGTTTATGCCCTCTCCGGCGTCCGACCCCGCCGAGCCCGCCTCCCTCACGTGCGCCGCGTGTGGATGCCACCGCAACTTCCACCGCCGCGAGCCCGACGAGCCTCCGCTTCCGCCGCCCTCCGCGGTTCCGGCCCTCGAGTACCAACCCCACCACCGCCACCACCCCCCTCCGCCGCGCTCGGACAGCGGCGGGAGCCCGAGCGATTCGCCGTCCCCGCCGCCGATCTCCTCGTCGTACTACCCGTCGGCGCCTCACATGCTGCTGGCCCTCAGCCACGGCCTGTCGGCATCCCCCACCACCGGATCCGTCTTCGCGTCCCCTCACGTGCCGGGATCCGGCAGCCGGAAACGCCACCGGACGAAGTTCACCCAGCTACAGAAGGAGAAAATGCTAGATTTTTCCGAAAAAGTCGGGTGGAAAATGCAGAAGAGGGACGACGGCGCCATTAACGAGCTCTGCAACGAAATCGGAGTCGACAGAGGGGTTTTCAAAGTGTGGATGCACAACAACAAGAACAATTACGGTAAGAAGGACAGCGACCCACCGGCGGCAGCCCCCGTCGCCGCCACAAACGGCAACGGCGTGAGCCGCCACCACCACGACGTCAAACAGAATGCTCATCCCCACCATCTCCACGGAAGTACAACTGCTCAAGCTCTTGGTACAAATGGCTCTTCCTCCTCTTCTTGAATCTTTTTCGCCGGAGTTTGGCCGTGGTTTAGTAATAAACTAATAATTAAGTTGTTAGATAGCGATAAAAACCGAGTCTTGGAGCTAAAAATTGAGTCTTGGAAAGTTGTTAGATAGCCATAAAAACTGAGTCTTTGAGCTAAAACTTGAGTCTTGGAGCTAGGAAAATGTCATTAATTTCTTAATTCTGCTTAAATTTTAGCTTTTTTAAAAAAAAAATTGTTTGCTGATCTTTTTTTATTAGCTTTCAATGTGACTAGCCTTTGATCAAATCATGAGGATCAAATCAATCCAGATTAAGGAAATGATTGGACCGGAAAATCAATTTGTTTATTTTTCAGCTCCTAATAATTTTTCTTCAGTTCTCTTGTGTACAGATATTAATTACCATTTACCAATTTTCATTTTTGTGATCAACACTTATTTCTTCTACAGCTTCTTAATTCCTTTTCAGCAAACTTTGCTCCCAACTTCAAGATTCCCTCTTTATTTTCTTTTTTCTTTTTTTTTTCTTAGAAAAGTTACCCTAAAAATAAATTGGCATATGCAGTCAAAGCACAAAAATGTATATTTGTATATAACAGTTTTGCTCTGAAACAAAATGTTGGCTCTATAGTCATATTTGCTTATATTATTTTTTAAAGTGATATTTCAGGTTGAAATAATACCAAAATAACCGTTATGTTTGCCTAAACAAGGCAGCATAAGAGTTGTGGTGTTGAATTTCATTAATTTCCAGAAGAATAAGAACTTTGAATTCTGATTTTCCAAGATTTAAAGAAATATTCCAACGTGCTTAACTTTAATTAGTTTAGTTTGTGCTTTAGATGTCATATCTGATATATCTGCTGCCTCATTCTTTTACTTTATCATCAAATAGCTTTAATCAATGTTTGTCCTAGATTTGCTAAAATCTCCTCATTTAATTGTTTTCTACAATCACTAATAGTACTGTTCTTATCTGGATATTTAAGTATTAAATTATTGGTGTGCTTAAATTTAGTAGTAATAAAGCTACCTTCTTTAGTTAGCTGAGTCTAAGGTGAAACATAATTGCCAAGTTGGCTAATCTTAGCTAAAAATAAAATTTCCATAAATACATTTGTTTTAACTTTGCTTTTAAGGTAAGCAGAAACTAATTAATGCATGGTGAATAGTAATTATAGGTGACAAAAATAGGGGCTTTTTTGTTAGGTGGTGGTTTTTTTTTTAGGTAATTAAATTTTGGTGGGTGTGTAGTCATTAATCTTGTTTTTGTTGGGAAGATTCAGAGAGTAGTTTAGTCCTTTCATTAATTCTTTTTTGTTTAATTTCTTTTAATTTTAAATAGTATTGTTGGAATTTATAAGTTTTATTTAGTTTTTTTTTTAATTTTTTTTTTTCCTGGCTCAAATTCAAGAGGTCTCATTTTGACTTGATTAACTGTAACTCCTCTCGTTGATATGGAAGCATTTATCATCAAAATCAATACGTTGAACTTAAGAGCACAAGGTCAATCAAATCAACTATTCTCTCTTGTTCGTATAGTTATGAAAAGTTGCATAATAATTAAGATTTTTTTTTGTCAATAATAAATCTTCTTTAATTAAAATTAATAACGTGAAAATTAAGAGTTGATATGACAGGTGTTGTGTATTTATTAATTAAATGAAGGTAATAATGAAAAAATATGTAAAAAAAAATCAAAACGTCATTTATTTGATTAATTGTTTAAAAATAAAATCAAAATGACATTTAAAAATAATAGGAGAGGATACGATTTTAATGTAATAAGTTTTCACTGAAATGGTAGTTCAGGAAATTAAATTTGGGAATTTCATGTGACCAAAAGCATGGATAAAAAAGTTCATACATTCAAAACCCTAAAATCTAATTGGAATATAAAGATTTGGAATAAAGGCACTATGTAGTTTGGTGATGAAATTAACATTGGAGCATTTAACAACTTGTAGCATTAATGGACTATTTGACTATAGAATTTAGCTTTGATTTTTTCATAAATGACAGTACAATTTAGCTTAGACTGTTTCATATTTTCTATGGTATTTAATTAACTAACTAATATCTAATAATCATATGAACTTTTGTAAACGCTAATTATATTTTACAATAAATATTTTCAAGTTGAAAAGTCATAATCTAAAATATAATATAATAAAAGGTATGATATTACATGGAATAAAATTGCATATTTGTAAACAAAATAAAATCAAAAGTGAATAGAACGTTTAATGGATACTCCGACTCACAAAATAATTTATATTTTTAAGAATCTGTCAAAGTTCGCCTTGCTACGACTTTGTTTATTAAAAAAAAAAAGAGCTTATAAATTATTTGGTTAGTTTATGAGCTTCATGTATTTAAATAAGATTTGTTTGGTAGGACGAGCTTTTTTTTAAAAGCTCGAGCTTATCTCATAAGTTTTTATGGGTAGCTTTTCAAATAAGCTCGTTGAAATTTTTATTTCAGTTAATTTTACCAAACACTTTTATCATATAAGTTGGTTTATCAGCTACAAGTCATAAACTATAAGTTATAAACTAAAAAAATACTAAATAAATTATAAGTTAGTTTATCAGTTAGTTTTACCAAACATAATCTACGTTAATTAAATTGGGTCAAACAAAAATAGAAAGAGTATTCCATAATTTACATAAAATCTAAATCATCAAGAATTAAATAAACTATTTGCAATTTATTACCACATTTTGCCTAAGATAAATTTTGAGAAACTAAATAATAGAGCAGCCTCAAACAGGACCACCTCGTCGTTATGGGCACATAATGGATTTTCTGCACTTTTACTAAATAAGTTTTTCAACGAATTTTTCCATTTATTCTCAAAGTGGTCCCTTTTTACAATCAATTAAGGTCACAAAATTTTAGTGATTACTATTCTTCACAAGTGCTTTAAAATTCCTCACCTACCCACCAGATTGCATTTTAGTGAATTCTTCTTAAATTTGAATATCTTAAAAATTATTAGAATACAACTCAAAATTCCAAATCAATACACCCTTCTTTTATAGAACAAATGTCATATTCTACCACTCAATTTTGGTCTCATGTTAGTTCTATACACTCTTTTTACATATATATGCATACTTTTGTTGGAAGATGTCATGCTATAAAAATTCACATAAATAAAAGTATATTATTTGATAATATAATTGCGCATTTTTATTCAAATAATATGACAGATCGACTCATATAACTGTTAAACTACCTCACGTAAGAGAATTTGTGTTTGAGTATATATTTGAAACTAAAAATTGCCTTTTTGTTAATCATTCCAATTATTGTTGGCATTGGATGAGGATACACGCCTACATGCAATGAAAGAGAGAATTTAGTTAAATTAAATAATATTATGATATAATAAAAAGGTAAAAAAGTAGAAACTAGAAACATGGTGCGTGCAAATCTACAATCGATTTTGTTGGGCTTTTTCAATGGATTGAAAGTTACAATTCGTATTGCTTTTGAGAGATAATGGGCCTCCCTAACGAAAGATTTAGATAATTAGGTTGAAAATTAAGGACAAATACTTCCTTTTTGATTGTCTAGTTAAAATTAGGAAGTAAATTGGCCCACTGGGCCACTGTATGATTACACATCAAATAAACGAATATGTAAAATAGAAGGCTTTATTAGCTAATACAGCTGGAGTAGCTCAGTCGGTTAGAGCGTGTGGCTGTTAACCACAAGGTCGAAGGTTCAACCCCTTCCTCTAGCGCTTTTCTTTTCT